GCAGAATGCGCAGCATTTTCTGTGCGAATTCCGCACCACATCAGAATCACCCTGTTCATGCAAACCACTGTGGGTGTGTATGTTAAGTTAACAACACCCCGAAAGCTGTCCACAAAAATGGCAGTGCGATGTGAAGAATCATATCACATAGGCGTGAATACCCATGCAATCCAAAAAAAAGGGTCCTGCACGTTTTTGGTGCGGGTGCAGTGCGAATAGAGCCATGTAACAAAATGTATGCCTTCGATCACACCGCACACAAATCGCATGTGATTTGCACAGGAATGCGGTGCGGTTCCTATGCGAATCACATGCAATATACGGAGCCGCACATATGTTGAACCCAGGCTCAGGAGTTGATTTATTGTGTGAGGAGCTCTCACAATGCAATTTTTTTTGGCATGGCTGTAGAGGTGCTGCAAATGGCCAACAAGTATGGCATTCAAAATGTGCACTTCTATTAGATGCGGGAACACCAGTAGGGTTTCCTATGATTAGCCCCACTGAAAGCAATAAGCTGCTGCATGCTCCTGCAGCTACTTGCTGCCATTTGCATGTAATCGCTCATGCAGCAATGTCAAGCAGGTGATCGGCTCTGATGCCTAATCTAACTGGGGTTTCTCGCATCTATCTGGAATGCAGGTGCATATCACAGGCAAGAATGCACCCTTAGCCTAGGTTCACACTATGAATCACCAAGAAATCGCACAGGAATGTGAAGCACATTCCTCTGCAATTCACTGCAGTGCGATTTGAGCCCATTAACTTTGAATGGGGTTCAAATCGCACTGCATCACACCAGAAGTAGTGCATGCACTATCTTTGGGAATGCACTACAGCCAGATCGCATGGTACTTTTGTACCATGCGATCTGTGTAGGCAAATGTACTGCATTTGCAACCTGCGTCTGGGGAATTTGTTAACATTGCACTGACACCTGCTGCTGATCGCAAGGGCAGTGCGTTTTGAAAGCAGTGCCGGAAATGTGCACAGATTGTGGGTTTCCCACACCACATTCTAGTGTGAACCGGGGCTTATTAACCACTTGAAGACCATGCCTATTCTGACACTTCTACATGCAAAAATCTGATTTTTTTTTTTTCTTTACTAGAAAATCACTTAGTACCCGCAAACATTATATATATTTTTTTTAGCAGAGGCCCTAGAGAATAAAAGGAGAGTCGTTGCAATTTTCTAAGTCCAGCAGTTTTTCAAACACAATTTTTTTTTTTTACATACACTTATAATTTTAATGCAAAAAAAATACAATTTATAACCGATTTTTGGTAAACTATAAAAAATGATGTTATACTGAGTAAATAGATACCCAAAACATCAAGCTTTAAAATCGCACATGATTGTGGAATTTTGACAAACTACAAATACTTAAAAATCATTCATAGGAGATGTTTTAAAAATGTTTACAGGTTACCAGTTTAAAGTGTTTACGAAGGAGTCTGCTTGAAGCACTGCAAATGCTGTGAACAGAGCTCTTATAAAAGCCTGAAACTCGTGTGCATAAGCCCTAAATGTCAGAAGTCAATCAGCATGTTGAAAATGAGGATAGCTTTAGCAGTCTCCATATTTACTCAATTTTTAGATAGGAAGATATATATAAATAATATATATATATATAATATATATTACATACAGTTAGGTCCATATATATTTGGACACATTCACAATTTCAGGTATTTACCAAAACATCTTCAAGCTATATTATATAATGGATATGGCTAAAAGTGCACATTCTCAGTTTAATTTGATGAGAGGTATGTTGCATCCAAATGGAGGAAGGTTTAGGAATGACAGCTCTTAAGAGTAGCCATCCCCCCTTTTTCAAGGACCCGAAAAAAATAATTGGACAAATTAATATAATCCATAAATAAAATGTTCATTTTTAATATTTTTGTTGAGAATCCTTTACTGGCAATGACTGCCCTGAAGTCTGGAACCCCATGGACATTACCAAAGACTTGGGTTTTCCTCCTCTCTGATGCTTGCCAGCTTCTAACTGCAGCTGTCGTCAGTTGTTCTTTGTTTGTGGGACTTTCCTCCTTTAGTTTTGCTTTCAGCAAGTGAAATGCATGCTCAGGGTGGGTTGAGATCAGGATATTTACCTCGGCCATTGCAGAATATTTCCACTTCTTTTCCTTCAAAAGCTCCTGTGTTGCTTTTGCAGTGTGTTTTGGATCATTGTCCATCTGTACTGTGAAGCACCGTCCAATCAACTTGCTGCATTGGCTGAAATCTTGGGCTGACAGAAATATCTCTAAACACATGCAGAATTCATCCGGCTGCTTCTGTGTTTTCTGTCACCCATTATCAATAAACAACCACCAATGACCCATTGCCACTTGGACACTCATGCATGGCCCAATAGCCATCACAGATGTCTGCCTCCACCATGTTTAACATATGACGATGCACTTTGGAGCCCATATCCATTAACTAATAGTCTTGAAAATATTTTATGGTACATACTTGGCAAAGAACTAAAATTGAGCCCTGTGTCCTAAATATATAAGGACCCTAAATATAACACATATATATATATATATATATATATATATATATACACATACATATACAACACACACACATATATATATATATATATATATATATTAATACTCACACATTCATTCAATTTCCCTAATAGTATTACTAAGCCTTTGCTTTAAAAAGCCTGAGTGCAGTCAATGGATAAAAAAATCAGGCAACAAAGGACATAAAAATCTACAGGGTGTTCTCCTAAAGTCTGGACACATAGGGGATAAATTATATATATATATATATATACTATGGTATACCCTTCTCATAAACAGTAAACATTTAGAGGTGAGCTTGGGTGTCCTTCCAAACTCATTTCTACCCAGAATTCCGCACGTTTGCACACTTTTTTTTTTTTACTCCAGATGAGCTGTGGGATGGGTCATTCCCCACTCTGTAGTACAACCTTTTTTTACACATGAGGTTGCAAAGCAGTAAATAACTGACCCACAGCTCACCTATGTAGTGGAATATATGAAAAAAAAGAGCGCGTTTCAGAATTTGGCAAAATAAACGAGTTTGGAGGACTCCCCAAGGTCATCTCTATCAAAACATGTGAAATAAGAATCAGTCAGGCATCATTCACATTTTAAAATTGTTTTTTTTGCTATTGATCCTAGACTCTCTGTTTTCCCCTCTGTTAAAGGTGTTTTTGCCAGAAAAATAATGCTTGATGCTTACAATGATAGTGTAAAGCGTTTAGGAGTCAATTTAGGTGCATCAAGTACTTGAACTGTTAATTCAAGTAATTTGCCCAATTAATCATTTATTCTGGCCATTTAAATGAATTTCGTGCATCAACATGTACCAAGCATTTGAAGCTCTTTAATTCACGGACACATAGGATACCACAGAAGATGCCATTTAGAGTAAGAAAAAAAAAAATCTAGGTTGCCCCTAAGAGCATCAATTAAAAACGTTCCAGTGTGCATGAGAAAAATCTATAGGTCATCATGCCAAACATTTTCACTTTAAAGTGGTTGTACAGGCTGAAGGTTTTTTTTTTTACCTTCATGTCATTCTAATGCATTCAAAAAACCTTCGAGTGTGCAGCTCCCCTCGCAGCACCTACCTCAAATACTGACCTTAGCCCGATCGCGATCCCAGCAATGTGGCATGAGAGCCTCGCTCTCACTAAGTCTCTCTCTTCTCATTCGCTTGGACCATAACAGCAGGATTCATTGTCTGTCAAACACAGCCAGTGAAGGAGGGAGAGGCGAGACTAAAGTTACTGCTCTCGTGTGCCCCATACAACACATAGACGACAGCTCGATAACAAAGCACACAGGGGTGCCACCCAGAGCAAGCAGCAAGCCTTAGATGGCACTCAGCAAGAGGGAGGGTCCAAAAGCGCTGGCCTGATGATTACTAACCTGAGAAGAGGAGGATCATGGCTATCTCTGTGCAAAAACCCATTGCACACAGCATGTAAGTATGATGTTTATATTATTTTAGAATTTAAAGAAATAAGTTTTGAGTCCCTTTAGAGAACCACTTCAAAAGAATCAGCATTGTAAAAAACAAATATCAACAATAGTTATATATATGACAATTTAAAAAATGTATTGTTGAAAACTCTCCATTCATGTTGTGTGAGTTTTTTTCCTGTCTGTTGGCAGTGTTCATCCGCTCATTCCTCCCAGATTCCCCTGCAATGCTTTGTCCGCTTCAGTTCAATTTACTAAGGATCTCGAACATATTCCCATGTTACCTTGCTGCCTGCCAAGCAGCGATTCCTGTACTGACCTCCCGCCTCCGCCCTCCTAAAACACCTCCTCTCAGCTCCTCTGTAATTCAGAAGACAGGGCTCTGTGAAATGTGTGACACAGCGGAGCTACGCACAGGCCATAGACGCGACCACGTAACGCAAATTCAAGGAACTAAATGTGTGGGGATCTTCACAAAGCAAGTTTACACACTTCAGCATCCTTCAGACTGACCTCTTGCTGCCTCACCATAGTACATTTACTGCAGCAGGGCGCATGGGCAGCTGAGACACGTGTGTATCTCTCTCTCTCTTATAATATATATATATATATATATATATATATAATATACACACACATATATACACACATATACACACACACATATGATACACACACATATATTTCACACACATATATACAACACACATATACATACAACACACACACATGACTGATTGGAAACAGGGAGTGAGGTGCCCATGTGCGCAAAAAAAATGCGCGAGAAGCTACTGCGCTTTGTGTATAGTACAGTGTCTTCTGTGACACATGACAGGTCCCAGAAGACTCCGGACCAATCAACAAAGCGCAGACGCTTTCTCGCGCATGCGCACTGGGCACCCAGCTGTCAGTCAGGTGCCCACACTAAAGAGGTCGAGGACAACTCTGAGCAGAAGTGGGAGTGGATTCCAATGTCAAATTCAAGTACCCCCCCCCGCTCCCCCCTCCCTCCCTCAAAGGTCCGCATTCTCTAGTCATGCCTTGCACTGTCCACAGTCCTCTGGTCATCCCCTGCACTGTCTGCAGTCTCTGTGAAATTCATCACCTGCACTGTCCGCAGTCTCCCACGGTTGTGGTCCCCTGTACTATGTCTGCAGTCTCTGGTCATCTCCTGTATGGCAGTGTCCGCAGTCCTCTGGTCATCACCTGCACTGTCCGCAGTCTCTGGTCGTCCCTGTACTGTCCGCAGTCTCTGGTCGTCCCCTTTACTATGTCCGCAGTCTCTTGATCATCTCCTGTTACTTGTGTCCGCAGTCTCTGGTCATCTCCTGTACTGTGTCCGCAGTCTCTGGTCATCTCCTGTACTGTGTCCCCGCAGTCTCGGTCATCTCCTGTACTATGTCCGCAGATTCTGGTCATCTCCTGTACTATGTCCCCAGTTCTCTGGTCATCCACATTGACCTGCAGTCTTTGGTAGAATACTGTATAGCTTTGTCCGGCTGCAATCTGGTCATCTCCACATAAGAGACTGTCCGCAGTACTCTGGTCCTCTGGTCTCCTGTACTGTCCGCAGTCTCTGGTCATCTCCTGTACTGTCCGCAGTCCTCTGGTCCCTCCTGTACTATGGGGTCCACAGTCCTCTGTCATCTCCTGTACTGCGTCTGCAGTCTAATGGTCATCTCCTGTACTGTGTCCCCAGTCCTCTGGTCATCTCCTGTACTGTGTCCGCAGTCTCAAGGTGCATCATCTCCTGTACTGTCTGCGGTCTCTGGTCATCTCCTGTACTTGCAGCTGCGGTCTCTGGTCATCTCCTGTACTGTGTCCTCTGCAGTCGTCTGGTCATCTCCTGTACGGTGTCCGCAGTCTCTGGTCATCTCACAGTGTACCCACTGTGTTGTCCGCAGTCTCTGGTCCAAATCTCCTTGTACTGTGTTCCGCAGTCTCTGGTTATCTCCTGTACTGTGTCCGCAGTCTCTGGTCATCTCCCTGTACTGTGTCCGCAGTCTCTGGTCATCTCCTGTACTGTGTCCGCAGTCTCTGGTCATCTCCTGTACTGTGTCCGCAGTCTCTGGTCATCTCCTGTGCTATGTCCGCAGTCTCTGGTCATCTCCTGTACTGTCTGCAGTCCGCAGTCTCTGTCATCTCCTGTACTATTCCGCATCTCTGGTCATCTCCTTGTACTGTGTTCGCAGTCTCTGGTCATCTCCTGTACTATGTCCGCAGTCTCTCGTCATCTCCCTGTAGTGTGTCCCGCAGTCTCTCGTCATCTCCTGTACGGTGTCCGCAGTCATCTCCTCGGTGTCCGCAGTCATCTCCTGTACGTGTCCGCAGTCTCTCGTCATCTCCTGTACTGGTGTCCGCAGTCTCTCGTCATCTCCTGTACGGTGTCCGCAGTCTCTGGGTCATCTCCTGTACTGTGTCCGCAGTCTCTGGTCATCTCCTGTGCTATGTCCGCAGTCTCTGGTCATCTCCTGTACTGTGTCCGCAGTCTCTGGTCATCTCCTGTACTGTGTCCGCAGTCTCTGGTCATCTCCTGTACTATGTCCGCAGTCTCTGGTCATCTCCTGTACTGTGTCCGCAGTCCTCTGTCATCTCCTGTACTATGTCCGCAGTCTCTGGTCATCTCCTGTACTATGTCCGCAGTCTCTGTCATCTCCTGTACTATGTCCCCAGTCTCTGGTCATCTCCTGTACTATGTCCGCAGTCTCTGGTCATCTCCTGTACTGTGTCTGCGGTCCATTGGTTCAGAATATTTTTTTTTTCTGGTATTTTCCCCGCCTCTAAAACCTAGGTGCATCTTATGGCGCGCAAAATACGGTAACTGAAATATAACATGGGAATGAACATATGATTTTACATTTTAACCATAGATATACTTTAAAGTACTAAGTTTTTTCTGCAATCGATTTCCTAAGACCTTTAATATACAGCCAACATTCACACTTTCAAAATAAGACCATTTTAAGCAAAGAAAAAATAGTTTTTCCTTTAATGAAAGTGAACATTTCCTGAAACTTTTTTTGAACTGTTAAGCCAGCATTAGGGGAAGCTCATTCCTGAAGCTCAGATGTTATTCTTGGTTTAAGTAATCCATGATGTTTGCTGTAATAGAAGAGGTCTCCAACACGCAGAAAAGAGGCCTCACGTCCTGTGACGTCAACACAACTATTAAATTGTTTAGAGGGAAAGAACAAGATGAAACAGTGCGATTCCACATTAACCCTACTCTGTCCTACACACGGTGCTGCTCACCAATCTTCAAAAAGTAGTTAAAGAAAAAATTCTAGGAATTGGAATTCTTCACATTGGTCCAACTTTGGCTGTACGGAAACAAATGCAAAAGTGGGCATACCTTTTTTTTTCCCCTTCTTAACCACTTGCCTACCAGGCACTTATACCCCTTATGTACCAGGCCAATTTTCAGCTTTCAGCGCTGCCGCACTTTGATTGACAATTGCGCGGTCATGCAACATTGTACCCATATGAAATTTTGATCATTTTTTTTCTCACAAATAGAGCTTTCTTTTGGTGGTATTTAATCGCCACTGGGCTTTACTTTTTGCGCTATAAATAAAAAAAGTGCAAAAAATTTGAAGAAAAAAAAAAAGTTTCTTTGTTTCTTTTATAAAATTTTTCAAACAGGTATTTTTTTCTCCTTCACTGATGTGCGTTGATGAGGCAGCACTGATGGGCACTGATAGGCGGCACGATGGACAGCACTAAAGGGCACTGATAGGCAGTACTAATGAGGTGGCACGGATAGGCGGCACTAATATGCAGCACCGATAGGCGGCACTGATAGGTGACACTGATTATGGGTACTGATAGACGGCACTGACTGGCATCACTGATGGGCACTGACTGGCGGCACTGACTGGCACAACCCCTGGGCACTGACTGGTGGCACTGACTGGCAGCACTGCTGGGCTGCACTGGTGGGTGGCACTGGTGGGCAGCACTGGTGGGTGGGCACAGGTGAGTGGCACGGGTGGGCACAGGTGGGTGGCACTGGTGGGTGGCACTGCTGGGCACAGGTAGGTGGCACTTCTGGGCACAGGTAGGTGGCACTGCAGAGTGGCACAGGTGGGTGCACTGCTGGGCACGGGTGGGCGGAGCTATTGGGCGCACTGCTGGGCACAGGTGGGTGCACTGCTGGGCACGGGTGGGCAGAGCTAGTGGGCGCACTGCTGGGCACAGGTGGGCGGAACTTGCGGGTGTCACTGCTGGGCACCGATCATCAGTGCCCTGATGATCGGTGCCGATCCCCACTCTGACAACTGCCGGTTCTCGGCAGTACTTTCCTCACGATCTGACAGCGTGAGGAAAGTGCAGTTGAGAACCGGCACTTGCATTTCCCTCTGATCAGCGTGTCATTGGACACCGCTGATCAGGTGGTAAAAGGCCGCTGTGATTGGCCTTTTACCACATCACGTGATCAGCTGTGTCCGTAGGACACAGCGATCACGGAGATCGCCGGGTGCGCGCCCCCTGGGTTGCGCAGGAGAGCGCGTTCTGGGAGGACGTCATATGACGTCCACCCAGAACTGGCCGGCCGCAGTGCAGCTGTCATTCGGCTATCTGCGGTCGGCTACTAGTTAAACTTAGATAGGTTCCTTCAAATTTCTCGTTGGGCCTATAGCTAAGCTATGTTGACCATCTTAACACTGACCGGGTTCATCGTTGGGGGTAAACGAAGGGCTTGCCACCAGCAATGGACCACATGGGTTTACCTCTCTTCCTGCCTCATCCCGATTCCCAATTTTTGTCTTCTTCCTTCTCCTCTCACCTCTCTTCTCTTTCACTTTCTTATATTGCAAAACCCACGCAACTTAGCGTACTGTCTACCTTCCAAACTCCCCTCCTTCTGTCTCAACCTTCCATGTATCGACTGACAAATGGAGAACTCCTCCAGGGCTTACAACTCTCATGCATTTACACTCTGTGTGTCCTACATCCTTTTTTCACAAACATCTCCAGGAATCTTATACCTATATGCTATCTACCCTTGTTAAATTAAGCCTAGCTCCTTTAACCATTTCAATACCGGTGCAATTTTACCCCCTGCCTGCCCAGGCCATTTTTCACGTTTCAGCGCTCTCACACTTTGAATGACAATTGCGCGGTCATGCAACATTGTACCCAAACTAAAATTTTATCATTTTCTTCACACAACTAGAGCTTTCTTTTGGTGGTATTTAATCACCGCTGGGGATTTTATTTTTTTTGCTAAATTAACAAAAAAAGACCAAAAATTTTGAAAAAAAAAAACACGTTTTTCTTTGTTTCTGTTATAAAAGTTTACAAATAAATAATTGTTCTTCATGAATTTAGGCCGAGATGTATTCTGCTACATGTCTTTGGTGAAAATAACCCAAATTAGGATGTATTATTTAGTTTGTAGGAAAGTTATAGAGTTCACAAACTATGATATAGATCTGAATATTGATCAATCCTGAAGTACTGACAGCCAATCTAATTTCTTGAGGTCCAAGAATGTCAGAATAGTACAGATATCCCCCAAATGACCCCTTTTTGCAGAGTAGACAGTCCGACGTACTTCATAAGAGGCATGGCGAGTTTTTTGAAGTTGTATTTTTTTTGTCATAATTTTTCGGAAAATTAAAAAATTAAAAAAATTATTTTCACTATTTTTTTTTTTACATACTGTCACCAGTGCAGTACAGCGTCATCATATAACTGGCATGGCGGTAAATAGGGACACTGACTGGTGACAGTATGAAAAAAAAAAATATATATATATTTTTTTTTTTTAATTTTTTAATTTATTTTTTTTTTTTTAGATTTGTTTTTCATATTTTACTATGACCAAAGTAGCACAATGTTACCATAGTAACATTGTACTACTTTGGGGAAGTGATCAGTATTTTTTTTTTTTTTTTTTTTACTTTGCTATAATAAGCAAGCATTTACCTGAATGACATGGATTCATTCAGGTTTTTTTTTTTTTGGTTTTTTTTTTGTGCTTAGCTGTGATTTGGCCACAGCTAATCACATGACATGGGCATGTGACCTGCTGTGACCATTCACAGCTAGGCACTAGTATACAATGGATGGCATGAATGAAGCCATTCATTGTATATAACTGTCATGTGTCCTGCTGTGATTGGTCACAGCAGGTCACATGGTACCGGCAACGGGGGCCAGTACTCAGATCTGTCATCGGCCCTGTCCGAGGTACACGGCCGGTGACAGATCGCGCCGCTGCGCGGCTCTGCAACCGCGCAAACTGCGCATGTGCGGGAGGACGCCAAATGGCATACACCCCAGAAAGCTAAAGCATTTTTGCGGCCACCAAACGGCTATAGGCCAGGTGGCTAATGGTTAATTCATTACACTTTGTTGTTCTAAACTTAGAATATATTTCATATTGTATACTTTTTTTTTTCTCTTCGAAAAAAATGAATACAATTCATTGTAACACAAGTTTCACA